CAGGGACTCTCCGGCGTGCCGTCCGACGCACCGCGCCTCGAGGAGGAGGGCGCCCTCGCCTTCGTCGGAGGGGCGCGGCGCCACAATATCATTTGTTTGTGGCCTAAATAAACCCTCGTTTGTAATGTTTGTTTATTGTTACGATATCAAAATAAAATAAAAGCGATGAATTTGAGTCCCCTTCTTTTCAAACATACAGACATGCTACAATTTTAAACATAATCATAACCCATTCTGTCTCATCATCAGCCCTTAAAATTCATATTAAAGCTCAACCTTTCAAATAAAAATATATATGCTGCCAAATAAACTTAGCAACGGTGCAGCTTTTCAGTTGAAGTCTCGAAAAGACAAAACTGGAATTCGTCTTGGGTTCTGTATAAGTAAGATTTCGATGTTGCAACATCAGTTCCCTTCGAATACAGTTGCTACAATGGTTCAACAAAACTAAGAAACTTGTTTTGAAACTGGACGAGACTGAGACTAACGGTAAATGCATGCAGAAAAAGAAACAGCGACTTTAATAAAGACTAATTTGCCTTTTTTATTCCCGCGGGACAGCGCACAGGGTGTAGGGTACAGGTGCCCAGGTGATTCCAAGATTGCCCTTGAATGACACCTGAGGAGAATCTGCTGGCTTCTTGAAGGTAAAGTGATGCAGAAGGTGAGTGAAGAAGATGAAGAGCTCCATTTTAGCGAGGTTCTCGCCTAGACACACCCGGCGGCCTGCGGAAGAAACAACCAAAGGTTAGAAATGGGCGCTAAAAATTGTAGGCTGCGTCTCAAAAATGGACGGACCGCGTGACCTTAAGACGACATCGAGGAAGTGTCATTGTCCATATCCCGGCTTCTTATAACAGTTAGATTTTTATGATTACCGAAAATGGGCCGCTGGGGAGACATTCCCATATGAACGTGCACAAAATTTTTCACACTTTACCGTCCCATAATTCAATATTCCCTAATCTTATCTTAACCAAACTTTGCATGTTTTCCTTTCAGACCCTAATCTATCATCTCTCAAAATGTGGGCATTAAAAATTTTCCTCCTTTTGGTAGTTGGAGCGTTAGGGAGACATTGAAGTGTCTCACTAATGACCGATGTCTCACTAATGTTGAAAAATTTACCACAAAATGTCTCCCAAGTGACCTATTTGGAAATATTCATCTATAGGTCTAAGGTAGTTTCAAACGTTAACTGTTTAGGCGTAAAAATCCAGATAAGCCCCAGTCCGTAGGACCACACAGCACTGTCTAAAAGACAGTCTGGTGTTTTAGTAGCTACAGAGCCAGGTGGGTCTCACATCAGGGCCCAGAGGTCTGAATGAGTCACAGTACCGACGAATCCGAGGGATTGGAAAACTGCCTACGAACAGGAAAGGTGCGTCTGAAAGTTATCGCTGCGGATGGAAAACGTACCGTGCCTTGCGGTTGCGGCCACTTCTCATAGGCATGTTTGTCATACTTTGCCGCAGTCAGTTGATTGTGTACGAACCCGATTACTGGGTCAGATGACGGGCTTTTAATTTACAGTGCACACTTGAAGTCCATTTTGGTTAGAAGTACATGTATAATCAAAATCCCACGGCCAGTTTGTGCATGCTTTAACGTCTACGGACTAATGCGATGTTAAAAGTGCAGCCTTTTCTTTATAGTAGTAAGCTCCACTTGCTTCGGGTGTGCACTGACCATTTCCGAACGGGATGAATTCCTCACGGAGATGGACCTTGCCGTCAGCGTCGAGAAATCGCTCAGGGCGGAACTCCCTCGGGTTGTCCCAGACAGACGGGTCGAAATGGCTATGCCAGAGATTGGCCATGACATACGAACCTTTGGGAATGTCATACCTGAAGAGAATAGTCAATATCATCACTAAGCTCGGAGACCCCCCCCATATTTCAAATTGTGCAAAAATGCCAATTTTTTGATTTATTCCCTCCTCTTTTTCATTCTCTTTCAAAAGCCTGTAAACAGCACCAAATGTCGCTCCAACCCATAGAAAAGAATGTAACACAACAAATTATCAACCTTTTGCCCCCCAATAAATATTTAATAATAATGATAATTCTGACCGCTCAAAAATGTACATGTAGTTCTGAAGCTTCCATTTAATTGCGACAGTTAAGATTTGATTTAATTTTGAAATCAATTTCTTCCGCTTAACAGCGTCGATATCTGATTGAAGTTTACTGCCTCATAATCGTTGATACCAATTTCATAGAGCTGCTTAAGCACAAAATTTGCGTAAGCATGAAAACCTTGCTTAAAAAACGTTATCAGCTCAAACTCTATGTGATTGTCATGCCAACCCAAAGACAGTTAAATGCCATTCCAAAACATTATACATCTTATGGAGTTTTGGCCGGTTACATGATTTATCAAGCAAGATTTTCTCGCGCTTAAACAAAGTTTGTGCGTAAGCAGCTCTGTGAAATTAGCCCCTGATTCTTAGTAGATATGCCTGTTTTCCTTGGGATTGTTGACTATGTTGCGTTAGTAGTGTTTCTTTACAAGGCTTTGCCGTCTTTCCTTCAAATCTCCTTAGTCACATTAAGCCCCTTAGTGCGACACTGAGCACGGTATAGTCAACTCAACCAGTGGCAGAAGTTGATATTAGGGAGAAACGGTCAGTGGTCGGTTATTTTTGTGCATCATCTACCACAACATCCCCGTCATTCGCATTTTGTACGGGTGTACGTCTACTGAGATTGGTCTATACGTTACCCATGGACTGTGGTTTTCTCTGCGCAGTAATGGGGCGCCGACAGCGGTAGGATGGTGCTTATGCGCTGAATCTCGCAGATAGTCGCCTCGGTGTAGGGCAGATCGGCCTTGTCTGACAGGGCCGGCAGTCGATTGCGGCCGGTCACTGCATCCAACTCCTGCTGGATGCGAGACTGTATCTCGGGGTAGCCCATCATGTAAAGCAAACCCCATCGCAAGGTAGTAGCTGAGGTCTCGGTGCCGCCAATGAACAGGTCCCCCACCGAGCGGAGTAGGTTGACAGGCCGGAGCCCCACCGCCGTTAACCCTTGCTTCTCTTTCGCCTCACACGCTTTGAGAAACTCGTCGATGAAGTCCCTGGGCTGCTCTGGATCGTATGCCTCTTGGTGCTTCTTGATCAAGAGGTCAATGTGGCGGTAGAAGTTGTTGATGGCCTGGACATAGAACCTTATGAAGGCAAAAGGCTGGAGCTTGGTGAGTACGGCGGGCATGGCCTCCACGAGAAATCCTGGCCCCGCGTCGTGCGTGACATTTGCAGTGTACTTCAGGAGCTTCCTGAACGTGGCATCGCTGTACTCGAATCTCTTGCCGAAGACCACGGTGCAGACGACGTTGGACAGTGCGTTATTCAGCGGATGTGCGGGGTCAATTGGAGCCCCCTTGTCCTCCATCAGCCAATCGGTGAGGTGTTTTGCCTCCGTAGATATGTTCTCTTCAAAGTTGGCCTTCCCCACGCCCAGTCCTCTCAAGGCAGTCAAGGAGAACCTCCGCAGCTCCACCCACAATTGGCCAGAGGCAGCGAAAACGCCTATAAATGAAACACACACTTAAAATGGGGTCCTTGACTCTAAAGGATGAGATTTTGTCTGATGACTAGTTCGACAACCCCCCCCTCCCCGCTGGATATAGAAGCTTTTTTAAAATTTATTTTTAACCAAAGTTATTCCTGGTGCGATGTGTAATGGTGGTGACATTACGAAATATTGGTGAGTGTTTTAACGATAATGACGTGAACACACAACATATCTCAAGTGAACATTTAATGTTTAATGGCATGATGCATCATGTGGTTTCCCCCCACCTCTTCCGGGGAACCTGTCGCTGGCGACGTGGAACTCCGGCCTGTTGCTTAGTTGGTGTTGCCCGAATGCTTCCCGCATGGTGGTGCACTTGCCGATCACCACAATTAACTTCCCGGCCATGTAGAAACTCAGTATATCCCCGTACCTATAACAATGCAATACACCGTTTTTAGACTCCGAGGCGAAAAGATAAAAACTCTTTTATCCCGGCATCCCCTCTCTGCATAAAGGAGACAGCACGACAAGGCCAGATCCACAGTCATGCCCTAAAGTTAACACACACTTGTGCAAAATACAGTTGCCTTCAATTTACATTTCTTTTCTCTAAATAGCCTCTTTTTTTTCAATTCCAACCTTTTTTGGTTTCTATCAAAGGTTTCTGTTTTTTTTCACTCAAGATAATTTCATTCACAATTTCACTCATGATGTGACAAGAATAGTCGTCAAAAGTTTTACACACATTAAGATGACTTAGTGCATGATAACGTTCTGACATGGTTTTCACAGTTATTATGGTTCAACGCTGCCTGTTCATTAAACTGGGTATGTAATAGCAGGCCCGTTGCCTGACCAGAGACGGGGGGGGGGGGGTTCGTCAAACCCCAAAGTGGAGCTTTTGTCACTGTGAACACATATTTTTATACAAAGGCCTATCATCACAATGTGCTTTGGAAAACAGCATTGAAAAGTTGCATGACTGTTGCGAACCAAAGGTTGCATGTAAGACTTGTACACTGTAGTTTTCAATATTGAATAACTTTTAAAATACATTGATTAAAAACCCCTGAAATGTGGATATTTGCCGGAACTTCCTGACGGTACATTATGATTGGAGATTGACTCCTTAATATGCAGAATCATGGTCACCTTGAACTTGAGAATCAACGCATAAGCCGTGGCCCGTATGCCGAATACTACCATATATTTAGAATATTCAGTAAACACACAAAAAAGACCACCATCAAGCGGAACTCAGAAGCCAGCGGGGGGGGGGGGTTCGTTCAAACCCCTCGACCCCCCCCCCAACCTACGGGCCTGAATAGGTCAGGTAGTACCCACTTAGCTGTATCCAAGTGGCCGGGTTTGCTATTCAGGTACGGACTTCAATCCAATTGCGAATTTGTGGACGGAATTGAGGGAGAGAGTACGCAAGAGGAAACCAACCAGTTTGACTGAATTCAACCAGTATATTGCCAACACAAATGGGCTAAAATATCTTAAGTTAGAGATTCACAGTTCTTTTAATTTCACAGTATTGTTCAAAGATGCTGATCGATGGTTACTATGAAAGACAACTGTAAACAAAGTTATCCAGAGCAGAGGCGGGTCCGGGAGGGCGGAAGGAACTTACTCTGACAGATTTTGAGCAAAATGAATTCGTAATTCCTAATAAGAAATTAGTAATCCGTAACAACGAATTAGTTGACCACAGATTTGCTTTGTCTGTGGCACGATTGGTCTTTTATAAGATTGCTTTCCTTAAAAAATTGGGGGAGCGTGCATCACTCACGCAAAACGCCTACGGAGAACCGAACGCACCTTCCTGACAGCTCAGACAGAAGCTCGTGGGCGACCTTCTTGTGGACGGCAACCCTCCACAAGATCTGCGGCAGGTAGCCCAGGATGGGCCAACCTCGGGGACCGGGAGGCAGGTTCCTGGGCCGGCGGAGCTTCAGCATCAGAAACACGGTCAGGAGGAATACGAAGAGCCCGATCAGAGCTGATCGCCCACCCGCTGGCCATCGACTCCAGCCACTAGCTGTCACACCAGTAAGAGTATCTTCCATTGCCAACGCTCACAGTCTGGGAACAATACAAACAACAGTGAAGGTAATCTACGGGTGACAGTATTCTCAACAACCTTGACATTTAAGTAAAACAACTGTAAACAAGTTGTTTTTGTTTGCCTGTTTAACATGCTAAACCTAAGCTGAAATCTCTGCTTTTACTGATAATCACCTCAGTTTTAATTGAGCAATCATCATTCGCCGGAGTAACTCAAGTATTATCCGGCTCTATCCTGGAACCCGACAGGCCCATCCTTTATACGTCTGCGAAGTAACTTGCTTACAAGGGGTAGATCAGGGAGGGGGGCAATGGTGGCCAGGAACCCCCCCCCAAAAAGGGAGGAGGAACAGAGATAGGGGCAATTGTGACTTTATTTAATTCCTATTCCTTCCAAAAGTGTGTAAACAGTCCCCAATTTGGCCCCCTTAAAAATTTGGTTCTGAATCCACCCTTGTTTGCTGAGATGACATCATGATGACCTTGAAACCCTCTCTGAATATGGGACCATACATGTATTTCTACCTCCATGGACCAAGTGAACCATTGTAACTTTCGAACGAAAAAGGTTTGGTTAACTGCCGTGAAGCTGGGTCCAATTACAAGAGATGGAACTAATCAGCAAAGTGGTATCCCGAGCGCAAAGTCAGCTCTGTGACGTCGTTTGTGACCCAGTTCTGCGCTTAGCAACTCAGTGAAGTTGACCTCTGAAAGCCCAAGCAAAATAACCACAGGGCACTGATCAGGTGAGGAAACAGAACCACACGACGATTTAGCTATCTAACTATACTATAGCCATACGAATGATGCTTAGCGCAGCACCAGAAACGGCAGTTGTGATTCTCTTTCTGTTCGAAACTGAAACTCGATCTTCTAGTGTTCTTTCAAAACATTAAAAGAAAAGCGCGTCCTTGGGATAGTCTGTATGATTGACATGGCAAAGTGAAACGGGAACTTGTCATTAAGTTGAAACCACGAGATAAAGACAGCAATATTTTCAATAATATTAACAGTGCTCGTGAGTTTAGAACACAGTGGTTTGTTTGCATCTTGCAAGTACAAACAGTCCCATAAGAAAAGGAAACCATTGTTCCATATATTTTTTACTGGGATGGACTCAACACTCGAAAATTGACTCAGAACTGGGTCCCGTTTGGAGTAACAAAGGTCGCTTTTTCACAGTAGTCATTCGAGCGCAAACACACACTACACACGCTAACAGCTTTTGAAATCATGCACAACACGCACACTATTGTTCCACTGAGTTGTAGAATCTCCTGATTGAACACATGTAACAAATCAAATAACAAGACCAATAAGCCTAGGTAATACGTATAAGAAACATGTAATGATGTGCAAGTCCAATCACTACATATAAAAGGCAAGGCAATAATGCATCATTACAACTGTGTCATAGGTAACTAGGCCTATGACGCGGGAATCCCCCAGGAAAATATGTATTGGCCAATCGCTTCCGTCATTCAAAAAACCCCCAGTCTCTCATACAGCTGTACGCGCTGGCAATTCCCAGCAATACTTCCTGGTTGCTATTTCCTTGTATCGAATGTAATATTGTGCAGTTAGTGATGGTAAAAGTCAGACCTGAAGGAGGTAAAAGGCAGAAGTTGACGAGGTTTCAGTGACAACCTATCTACATCCACCGAGCGACGCAACAAGCAGTGCAGACGGAGGGTACTTCTGCGACCCAGAGCCAAAGTGTAGGTTGCAACCGCTGTCAGTGCTGAGGCGGTGTATTAACTGAAGCTGCAGGGAAGTGAGTGCCGGTAATACACGTTCCACCGGAGTCGAGATCTAAAATCAATCATGGCCTTCGCGGTAATTCGCGTGTTGATGGTGGCTGTGGTATTTGTGATAACGAGTGCATTGGGCTTCGCTGAAGTGAAGCCTGGATTCAAAGCACGGATCAGCCAGTCCGGGCTGAACTACCGTAAGTATCATGATTGCGCTGTGAAGTTTTAAATTGGCACAGCTTTGTATTTGATCCTGACCGTGGTTTGCATAAACAAAATTTGGACGGAAAAGGGTTTTTTCTTCAGAGATTTGGAGGTTCAATGGTTTACCCCAAATTAAGTGCACGGGTACATATCACGGGTATGCGACGTAAAGCGAAATCAGTACCGTTACCCTTATATTACGCCTGCAAATCAAAGGTTAAAGGTTTATGTTTTCCGTGAAATTATGAATTATATTTTCCTTTGAGTTTTAACCTGAAACCCCTGCTGCCAAAAGTTTGGAAAGAATTAAGATGCCCTAGGCCTATAACATTGCGTACAATATTTAACAGTTCCAAACTACTGCGTAAATTCCAGGCGGATAAAAATCCTGCACAAGTTGACATAGCTGAACAATTTCGAGGTGAGAAATCCAAACGGTGACCCTATAGTTTCCGAAGGGGTGGCTTACGGGTTTAAGTCCACAATTTTCAAAGGGGATGAAACGTAGACGCAAGGACAACAGAGTCAACATTCATGAAAACGAAAGGTTCAAGGAATTTCTTAAAAGTTTTGTTATGATAGGAATCGTGGTGTTTTTATTTTTGGTATAGGCTCTTAACGCATAGGGTAACGTGTTCTATATTTCCTTCATGGGCGAGCACGAATGTCCGGTTTATAACTGGTATTATGGGTTATATGCCTTTGCCTGCTGCAGTTGGACTAAACGGCAGTGGTCACGGTGATTGCCTTGGCATGGACACACGAGGATAGTAAACACACTGATCAGTTTAACCGAAGTAGAGAGACAGAAATCAGACAAATGATGAGAGAGTGAGATAACATGGGAATAAGATCATTTATCAATTTATAGGATTGTTCGGGGTTTGGTTTCTTATTGGTTTAAACCCATAGATTCCTTGCTTGATTTTCTTTGCGTTTTTATTGTTATTATTTTGGATGTTACTCTATGCGCCTTGTCTCAGTAAGTTGAATGCAATCCCCTGGGATGGGGAGATACATCCCTCCCACTTTTTTTCTTTTTTTGGGGGAGGGATGGGCTATTGAATCACCCCCCCACATTTTTGTAATGAGCAAACAAATTAAAAAGTATTTTGAAGAGTTATTTGGATTTCCCAATGACTATAATGTTTGCAATATCATTAAAAAGGAAAACAATTTTTTTTAAAAACCATACCATTCTGATGTAAGATTCTGCTTGAATTCCATGTAAATTATTAGTATTAACATTGCCTCGTATAGAGTGTATATACGGTGTCCCCCCCCTGCCCCGCTTTTCAAATTTCTACGGCCAGGCAAGTAATCTCCCACCTTCTCCATCCCCCCCATTTCCAGGACAGGTTTACGCCACTTGGGGTGTACTTCAGCTCGGTGCGGATAAGATGCTATGAGCGCAAACGTGCCACCTCTCTGAATCTACACTAATTTTGCAGTTGTGCGTTTTGCTTTTAGCGTAAAAATAACGCAACGCGTTGAGTTCAAACAGGCCATTACATAGGATTTTTTATATCAGCCCGTGCAATACGGTTATAGGCCTATATCACACTGTTCAAGCAAGTGAGAATTAAGTTTGCCTGAAGATAATAGATATAGCGACGACAGTGTATGCGGAGATAAGTGAGTGATATGGAGCCATTCAAAAGTGATTTTAAAAACTTCACGTTATCAAATGTAACACTTTTTGACGAATCTGATTGATTTTCTCAATTTAATTTGGGTCACTCTTCACCCGAAAGCAATTCGTGCGATGTCAGATCAACATGGTACGTGTTATATAAATGGGCCGACAATTGTTTTGAGTAGTAATGGAGAAGTACGTGCCTAGCCTGACTCCGAATTTGGACCCAATCAAAATTCAACCCTTAAGTAGGGCTTAACCCTAGATTTCTGAACAGAATCATACCCATGTCCGTTTTGGCTCGTAACTCGACAAGAATACGAAACCTATGTTTAGGAATCAACAATAATGTGGTCTTAATTGTGGGTAGCTGCCTCAAACTAGAATGGCGAGGTCTTTGCTTAGACTCAAACCTGAGTCTGGGACATGAGTGCAATGTGCTGAAGTGCTGTTTGGACCAAGTTCAATCACTGACCATTTGTCAACCAGCGGTCGATTTTGCTTGGTAGCCCATGTATATAATACATCGTGGATAGGCCTACCTGGTAACATCGACCTGAGGGTTAATGATGTGTGATCGACATTGGTCACAAATAATGAATTGAGTTTACCGTTTCTCTGCGCAGTGCGAGATGCTGGCCTGCAGATACTGAGGGAAGAAATCATCAAGATGGACATTCCTGACCTCAGTGGTGATGCCCATGTGCCTGTGGTTGGCTCGATTAGCTATACGATCTCCGAGTAAGAAGATGCTAACAATGAGGTGGAATAGCTGTTAGTTGTAAAAAATCAGGAGTGCTTGTTTTTGGTATTTTTCTCTATATTAATTTAGCATTACTTTTCTCCTGTCACCTACGTTTCTTTTACCTCCGTTCTTTAGCAAGTGATAGTAATAGGCATATTCAAATTGATCAAGCGTTATTAATTTACATCAGGGATACTAATTTATCAAAACCATGGCTGTCTACAGAAACCAATAAAGGCGTAAAATCGTCTATAAGAATGAAATTGACATGAAACTATTGTTTTGTGCTCTCTAGTTGAAAGGTCCCGTCACGTTATGTATAAAGCTGTTTAATATTTTTCCTCTTGTATAGGCCTACATGAATTACTTTGCAACAAATGTCCGGAATTGATGCAGAATAACTCTGGGTCCAAACCTTTTACAAAAGTAAAGGTGGTGATAGATCAAGAAGCTGGAGACTGATTTAAACTATTTTTGTCCATTGTGATACAAACTTCAATAGCGGTTACAGTTTAAACGGGGTATAACATCCTACCAATTTAACATTCATTTTGTCTGTGTCTTTGCGCGAATCTATCCCCCAAGCATGCATATCACAAGTTTTTCCATTTCGTCGGCCGTCCTGACCACATCGGCTGGAGTTGGCGTCGTTCTGCAGGCCAACGGAATATCGCTGTCTTTGCACGGGAACTGGCGTTACAGAAATCACGGCTGGTGAGTCCTGGACACGGAAGGCTAGTTTTTAGGTTCGAGAGATAGTAAACTATTCTAGCCAATCACCGGCCGTCAGCCAACTCATGGTTTTCAAGGTCCTCATTAAACAAACAACCAATTGTTGGAGATTCCTGTCTACTTGTGCTGTTGATGAGGTATCACTCCTCGACCGTAGAACATGACTCTTCCCACCGAAGGGAAAATCCCCAAAGTAGGCTACCTACCAAACAAACAAAATGGACAAAAGATAGCTAACCGATGGAATCAGTCAACCGTTAAACGTGGACAGACAGGAATCGCTGGCGCAGATCCAAGAGGGTTGAGGGTCAACTCCCCCTCCACTCATTGCTATTTTAAAAAACTTTTGATTATTTTTCTTTGAGGTCTATACGCGTACAGTAAGACCCTTATCATAAATGCAGTTTTTTTGTGTAATGGTATATAGTCAAAAGAAAGAGATTGAATGGCGCCACCAACGGCGACACCAACGTGTGGTAATAAAATAACCCCTCCCCAATAGGCTATATATGAATAAAATTTTCCCAACCCCACCCCAGTGAAACATCCTGGATTCGCCACTTGTCCTGGCTAAATGGGTTTCTGTATAGCAAACATTGAAATGATTTCCACAATGTTGAGATTGGAGATTCATGTCTTAATTTGTCCTTTTTTGAAGTTAGAAGCTTCTTTCTTTCGAAGCTATTACGAAAAGTGATATTCTGTTTTGAAATATGAATTTAAAATTGTCTGCATCTAATGAAGCTGATTCGGCGATATTTATAGACAAATCTTGAGAGAATTTTATATTACAGAGGACATGGTTGTGATTATCCAATGTCTGTTAGAAAAGGAGCAGAAAGATATATGAAAAGTTATCTAACGTGTGGAATTAAAAACGACCAACTGAGTAAAGAGACCATAGAGACGATTTGCTTATGATAAATTTGGAATCATACCTTTCGTTTATAGAAGAATTAAGACAAACTGACAGGCTGAGTTTACGAATAAGCGCATTTTGCCATTGAAAGTGGTTTTTTTTCAGCGCCACTTTGTACAAAATACTAAATTCTAAAATTAGGGAAAGTCTTTCAGTTGTGCTCAGATAAGTTGAATATGTACCAAATTTAACTCGTTCTTACACAAGTTCATTTCTCTTTGGTTGTGCCGTAGGATTAGAATCAGTGACAGCGGTTCTTTTGATGCCAGCTTGTCCGGTGCACATCTTGCTCTGACACTGCGAATCGGTGAGTCTTCACTGTAAACTGATGGTGTGCAAAGTTAACATTTAATCCGCGTATACAGATATCTCTATTAGAAATAGAGATATCTCTATTCTTAATAGAGATATCTCTATTAGAAATAGAGATATCTCTATTCTTAATAGAGATATCTCTATTAGAAATAGAGATATCTCTATTAGAAATAGAGATATCTTTATTAGAAATAGAGATATCTCTATTAGAAATAGAGATATCTCTGTTAATAACAGAAATACCTCTATTCCGGGATTAAATGTTAACTTCGCACGCCATGTAAAACCAAAGAACGTTTAGACGTGAATGTGTTTAACGCTATAAAGGGTTATCGTCGGGACATTAAACGCCTGTTAATTTATACATCGGCTTAAAACTTGGATTCAATTTTTTATGATCGGACTAATCAGAGTTGCATCTATCGTTTCTTACACAGGTCCGTATACATAGAACGTGCATAGATATCTCAGGATCTCGGATGGATAATTTTTTTTGAAACCATAAAGGCTGTCAACATTTTTTCAGCCATTTTGTTCTTGTGTTGTAGCAGTTGGCTTGCCACTCTTCATGTCACTGCGTTTGACTTCAACACGTGTATGTCATTATAAATAATATGTAGATAATAAATACTATAGCCTTTGTTAACAGGTCAAGTATTACAGACCTGCGTTTAATACGGGCGGTTCACAAAAGTGCGCCACCAAGAGTTTGCAACACGTTTTCCAATGATAACGCGCGAAATTTGTCGACCCTTTCTAAACGCGCATTGGGTCGACAAAATTTGCGCACTGTGATTGGCCAACGCATTGCAAACTCTTGATGGCGCACTATTGTGAAACGGTCGTTTCTGCGTTTAGAAGTTAAGCGCTTGGGTTTTACAGTGTTTCTGGGGTATCCCATATTGCTCCAGTGATATCAATTGGAGAACAATTTAATTTTCACTGGGATCGGAGGGCTGCAGAAAATACACAAAGTGTCGTAAAAGAAACCTTTACTTGGCCTAAAAGTATACTTATTTGCACCAATTCAAATTGTCTCTGATTATTCATGAGTGATCCCAATTATTACCATACCAAACTGAGCTTATTCTATGAGAAATATTATGCGGTATACATTTTATAATTATGCTTGTATAGGTCCTAAATGCTCTTTAGTGGGTATTCTTTCTGGAGATATGAATATTCTGGGCTCGCCGAGTCTCAAAAGGCGGGCAAGAATAGGGCAACTTCAGGGCCTAACTTCATGTTGCTTCCCGGCAGAAAAAAATACTGTTCTTTCGCAAAGTTGAATGCGCAAAGTTCGGACCGGTGGAAGATCTGTCATAAGCAGTATACATCACGTGATATTTCTGGGGCAGAACTTTGTAGTGGTTCGGTGAGAGCCGTTGCGCGAGAGGACTCTTTTTATCAGAATTCTTTTAAAATGGAAAAGAAGAGGGGAAGCGTTCACAAGTTGAGGAGCAAAATTTTGTAAAACTCAAAATACAATTTACTTGCTTTTCAAAGCCCAAGCTGAATGATTATTGATATGTCTTGAAGGTATCGACCAGGCCGGACGTCCAACTGTTAGTTCAGCTAGCAGCGATTGCTCCTTCAATTCAGGGAGCGTTCACGTCAAGCTGCACGGCGGTGCTAGGTAAAAATCAGAGTATCTATCTTCGACCATAACAAAATGTGTTAGTTTAAGCGTTATGGCTTGAGTACTCAGCTTCCTACATAACAATATTATCCCTTTGGTGAGTGTAGATGTCTGTATAGATCAGTGTTGCTACAACGGTATGGCGACCGCTGTGAGCATGATAGTAAACGGAATTTACTTTTTTGGAGCTCTCTTAAGCATTTAAAAAGTTTCACTTGTGTGAAACGAAATTCATGTTGAAATTATTTTGAAAAAGAGAGGCCTATACCCGACAACTTGTCTGCCTATTGATGCAAGCGTACTGTGCGAGTATGGTATGTACATATTTCATAACGTTTTATATCATGTCAATGTTGGTTACAGCTGGCTTTATAACTTGTTTTCGGGTAGCATCAACAAGGCCATTGAAAACTCCCTCAACAAACAGGTATAGTTATTACGATCTTTCGAATCCTATGAAGGCGAAATTCCTTTGAGCAATAAACCGAAGAGAAAACAGAACATAAGTGAGCAAATGTGCTTGGCACAATCCTACTGTCTTGAGCAGAAACACGCCAATTTCAACGTTTTCCGAAAAGGGGGAATGGAATTTACTTTATTATTTGCACAATTCTTGATTTTCTTGACAGACCTGTTCCGTGGTAATTAGAGAGGTTAATACGGATCTGGCGAGGCAGTTTTCCACACTGAAGAGTAAGATAAACCTTTTCCTGAATAAAGCAATCCCCAACTTCACTACGGTATGACTAATAATTGTCGGACTATCGTGAAATGCAAACAGACGAATGAGGACCTTTATAGACGAGTTGGGGCGGGGCTGGTTCTCCCCTCCTAAACACATTTCCCAGTCCTACCATTTTTTTTTGTAATCAAACGTTTATCAGCATCTGTCGAACTGGACTGGTGATAAAGCCACCACTTTGTGGTTGCCTCAAATTGGAGTAGTAATTGTAGTACATTGAACTTTAAATTATCTAGAATAGAAAATTTTATAACTCATTTTGACAACTATAAGAATCGCAAAGAAACACCCTGTGAAATCCAGGAAGAGAACTAGACATTCCCCCACAAGATATACAAAAAAAAATTAGGCCGAGTTTCATTAGCTGTGTTTCGGGTACCATTGTAATTCATTCTCATTTTCTTGCAGCCGAAGCAGCCATTGACAGGTACGCCGTCATCGACTATTCCTTCGTGTCTCGTCCCGAATTCTCCGGTCACATCGACACCGCTCACAAGGTGAGGATGTAGGTCATCAATCCTCTTGTCCTGTTTTTCTTGTTGCTCGTCGGTCAGTTTTGAATGTTTTATCCTCGGCAGTGCATACATACGTTGGCAATCTTACTGTCGGCAGCTATCCTGCTCGCGCTTGCTAATAATGTCCGACCCAGGGGCAAAACGGCATCAAAACTCCAGGAAAGATGTTTTTCCTAAATGGAGGTGGGCTTTGCACTTTTATAGTGGGATGAGCAGTATGACCTGTAATGTTGGGGTCAAGACTATAGCCTAGAAAGTACACCATGATAACTATATCCGAAACACCAAGCATTTCAAGCATTTTTCCTCAGTTTAGAATTCAGTTTCTGGAAATAAATTGTAGCATATACGTCAAATATTAACTTTTAATCCAAGCACCAGATGGAGAAACACAATTTGAGACATAGTATAAAACTGAGCCTGGGATAGCTTCCTCCTTTACACACACACAAAAACAACACTTGTGTTGTCCAGTCTGGGTGGCATGCTCTTCGATCTGACGTGAAGTTATCGAGGTGACGAGTAATAAAAGTCGGCATATTTTGACACGCTGTCAAATCTCGCCAGGCTGACAACCTGCATGATATCGATAACTTCTCCCTTGCTTTCCATTCAGGGCGAGGTCTTTCCACGGGGCAAACCCCGCACTGAGGCCCCTTTCAACGTGCCCACGATCCCGGCCGATCCGGACGTTTCCCACCATGCTTTCCTCTGGATCACTGACTACCTGTTTGAGACGGCTGGATATGTGTACTACAAGGCCGGCAGGTTTGCGTACAACGTCACCCAAGATAAGGTAAACTGAATGACTATCCCTAGTTGATTTTATCAGTTTCACATTTTGCTTGGAAGTTCCCATTTCTGATTGAGGTTCCCATACAGTTAACATCAGCATTTTCAAACTTTGTGCAGCGAATGAAACCACTGGGTGCTTGAAAGACCGGTGTTGGTATGGAGTGTTGTAAAAAGGACTTTTCTTAATTTATAAGCAGTTCGTTTGTTGGAGGAAATCCAGTCAAAATTTCAGGTTGATTAATTAAAAATGTTTCTGTTACACCGCCGCGTCCTGCCTGAAACGTGTAAAGAGCCACAAAATGCTGTCCAGAATGTAATATATTTGTAACCTAATTTTGTCAGACTAAAAAAAAATAATATCACCCTAACTTTGTGTTCCTTGTCCATTTTCAAGCTACCCAAAGGCCCCTTTAGCTTCAACACTTCATCAGAGGTTATGAAGCGTACCCTTCCAGAGGTAAGTGGAGATTTAAATCCTACAATCTCCTGATATTACCTATCCTAAAACCTAAATCTGGGCCCTGCTCTACTCTATTAAAATCGGGGGTGTCGCGCCCTGCTACCGATAAGGTTAGGATCTGTGGATTTTTTGACAGATTGTCAGACTCTTTTGTGTACAGGGATAAAACCAATTGCTAATTCAATCACAGTCCTTTTTACAAAAGTGGGATTTTCCTGTTTTTTGCCTTCATCTGTTTATCGTAAAAGTGTCCTTATGCAAATTTAGAACGGGGAACAACCAGTTTGGGTTTATGTGCGACAAACCAACTTGAACTCTGACTTCAGAGTGTATCCACCTCGAGCAGAATCACCCCCCCCCATCGGTTGAAAAGAGCAACACGGATTAAGAGAGAGTTCACTTTGTTGGTAGCATTGCAACCGTAACACGTGCATTTCACAGTCGTTCGTGAATCAGCGCAGTTCAGTTCCGACCAAAGGAGCCGACGTTGATGGGAAAATTGCGCCCTCTCTTGGTCCAGCTCGAGGCCCATTCACTTTGCGGTAGCGGTACCGCCTCGGTCAATCCTTTTTATCTCAGAAGGTACCAAAATTCATCAGATCGTTTCCAATTTTACCAATTTATCTAATTTATTAATCTGTTATGATTTACCTGTCCATTTTGAGTTCCTGTCTACAATCCTGGACAAAATAGTTGGAACA